GAATGTTCACAACATAGGAGCCAGCTAACGTCTAGTCCCCCGATGATGGCAAGGCGGAATTAAATCGAACAATTCCCTCGCACACTCTCCGTGATTTCTTGCTTAAACTTAGGCAAAGTTCGTTTGGTATATACGAAAAAACTTGCTTAGCTCGCCATTTTTGCTTAGTCAAAGTTATGAGTTCGTTTAGTAAATCGCAGCTTTAGTGTCACAACACGGCATCAGTAGTTGTTGTTGCAGATCTCTGAAAAATGTATAATCAATTTATACAGGGTCATTTGTAATATACTAACAAACTCACAGGACTATAATTACTATTACATAAACTTTTGTTCCACGAGTTTTAATAATTTCGTACAGTTTGTACAAAAATAAAAATATTAAATAGAGCTCGCTGAGCGGTGACAGCCCTGTACAAAACGAAGGAGCGCTGGTGGGAATCGTCGGCTAATATACTTGCAACTTACTACTTTATTTACCTTATTAACAAAATTCAGACCTTAAAAGTGTCAAATAGTAAGAACAAGAACTGAAAAGGTTTTTTTTTGTGCAAATTTATTATGTTTTGTAAAAAGACAAAACAAAGTTGTTATTTATGATGTTAGTAATATAGTCGTGTAGGGCTTGTACAACAGGGCGTGACTTGTGCGAGAATAGCGGTATGTCGCGCTTTATGTCGCTCTCGCACAAGTCGCGCCCTGTCGTGCTAGCCCTGCTGCGAGGTCGTTATTATTTAACAAATAACCCTATATATGGTGATGGTTTGAAGGTTCGCTGTTTAAATTTAAACTTGACAATTAACAAGTTGTACGGAACACGAATATTTGCGATTCTGCTTGTCCGTTATTTAAAAAAAAAAAATAAACTAAAGGTGGTTTAATTTGTTATCTCTAGTCTTGGAAGTTTTGTCTAGTCTTATAAATAATTACCAAAGATTTTCCGGCATGAATTTTATTATACGAATGCTTTGGCCACGCGAACTAGTCATTTTTGTTATATTTTATTGTTTTTTTTTACACTTTTAATTATTCGTTTTAATAAAATGTGTAAGTGTACATTGGGCCCATCTTCGTGTGTGTATAATTTGTAGAAATTTGGAATTCAATATGAACGAATATAACTTTTATCTCTACCATAAAGTATAACTGTAACTTTCGAAGTAATGAGAGACTGCAATTAGGCCAGTCAATACTAGAAAAAATGTATTTATTTTATTTTATACAAAACATCACGGTATGAATAGCACGATGTCATGATATTCATACATTTTTTTATGAAAATACTGTCATTCGTTTTTATTATTGTTGATACAAAGATCGAACTATGGCAAGAAAAATTCCTTCGATATGACGGGAAGAACAAGCCGTGTGCCTTGTGATAAGCTACACGCCTATCCATAACAGTCAGAGCTTTAAATTGCAAAGATCTGAGAGGCACTACCACTGCGCCTGTCACCCTTCCACGGGACTTGTCAACTTATGTCTCACATAAGTTGACAAGTCCCATGCACCTGTAATTTCACCAGCACCTTTACCCTTCAAAACCAGAACGCAGTAATGCTCAAATTACTGCTTGGTGGCAGAAATAGGTAATGGCAGTACTTCCCTGGACGAACTCTTTCACAACGAGCTCTACTGCTACTAAAATAATGAATGGACCGTACGCCATTTGCCACACTGGGGCTACGTGGTAAGCTGCAGATCTAGTCAAACAGACGCTGGTTCGAGTCTAGTCAGATTGAAGGAATTTCCAGGAATTTTTTGCTTAATTCCATCTTTATATCAATATAAGAAAAATTATTGCTTTATAGAAAGATACACTTTTAAATAAAATACCAGCGTGAGATTCAAATATATTAATAATAATAACTCACGTATTTCAGCAGATTTTTTGCTCGACTGTTTCAAACCAGACTGTGGTTCTTATTCGTGAGATTCGACGCCAACTGCTGTTTCCGAAGTTATACTTTTCTGACAAAAATAAAATAACATAATTGTAGTAACGACTAAAGGTTATACGGGAATAAACACTCTATGATGAGTATCGATAATCCCTATTCATTTGCTGAATTTCAGTAAATTATGCACATTAGCAAGTGGCTCACCTTACGTACATTTTGTAGCGGAATTGTGTTGCATAACGCCTAGCCGCTGTACAAAACGGCGATGGTTGCTTAGGTACCTGTCATTCGACCCCCGCGAGATTGGGTTTATCTTTTTTTGTCATTTAGCCGCGTCTTCCATGCTAGGCGTTTTGCAATGCACTGTACAATTATGTTAGTATTATACACATTATACAAAACAAACTTAGCACAATGTGGGATTTATTTATTATTGTTTAATTATTTAGTTATTATTTCCTACGTTATCAGACTATGTAGAATCTCAGTACGTAGATTTTTGTTTTTTTTTTTGTCTAACTATTATTTTAAAATATGACTAGTTGGTGAAGAAATGTGCCTTTGCACAAATGTGGAGCACATTTTTTCACTAATTAAAGTAAGTTCACTCGTAATCCCGTTTTTTATATTCGGACTTATGTTGAAGTATACAGTGTGAGAAAATAGTACCTATTCGGGGCATGAACTCTAAATTGATTCTGGTATTCTGGATAGTAGTCCCTCAGAGCGACTTTCATTGCTCTGGTACTCATAGCACCAGTAATTCCTTGTTTGAGACCAGACAATTGGCATGGTTGACTATGACATTATTATCAAAATCGTATAAAAAAACAGGTGCAATCAAAATATAGATATTACCTTCTCAGTTATTTCAACAAATATTTAAAAAATGTGGTCCTTTTTAAGTGAGGTTCCTCGTTGTGGTCCTAAAACGTTTGCATACCTGAGTTATGCCGGATTTACATTTGTCTGACGTGCCGTGTCGTGACGCGTCAGAGCGGTGTCGGTTTCATACACACAACAGAAGCCGTCACGTCAGATTGCAACACACTAATATAAGTCTAACCAAATTAAATGTATGAAACCGATAGCGTTTGTAAATAAAACGTTTGTTTGCTTCACATATATATACACGC